TATCATCAAGTCAATCAAGAGATACTGTTCATAAAAATATACTTGATGGTATAATAAAAAACTATTTTGAAAGGACAGTGTGAAAGATGACCATCAAATAAAAGCTGCAGGAAATATACATGTTATCAGATAAATCAAAAAAGGAAAAAAACTACTATTGTTAGATGAGTAAAAAAATAGCAAGAAAGGCTGGGCATGGTTGTTCATTATGCCTATAATGCTAGCACTTTGGGAGGCCAAGGTGGCAGGATCTCTTGAGGCTAGGAGTTCGAGCCCAGCCTGAGCAAGAGTGAGACTCCATCTCCACAAAAAACAGAAAAATTAGCTAGGCGTGTTGGCCTGTACCTATAGACTCAGCTATTTGGTTTGCTGAGGGAGAAGGATCGTTTGAACCCAGGAGTTTGAGGTTGCAGTGAACTATGATGACGCCACTGTACTCTAGCCCAGGCAAAGAAGCAAGACTCTGTCTCAAAAAAAAAGCATGATACTCAACTGTCAACTGGCATTATATGATTATAGAGGAAAAAAATGAGTGAGGAAATACATAAGCAAAAGTCTGAACATCTCGACATAAAAAATAATTTTGAAATTCATGCAATAATTCTAAACTGTAATGAGCCATACACAGACAAATTGAATTCAAAGATGCACATGTCATATGTTCTAATGGTACAAAAAAAATGTTTGCTCAGGAATCAAAGACCCTCAACTAGCTAAATTGGTCAATTAACTGCAATTTTCACAATTAAACTTCAGTTTTCACAATTAAAAAAATTAGGCAGATGATCTTAATTTCTATGATCCATCCATCTCGTAAATTTTACCATATGACAAAAATAAATTGTAAAATTAGAGTTATATTATTATAGAAGCAGCAATTTGACATTAATAGCAAATATGCAAGTCTAATACACATAATAAATGAAATAAGCCTGAATGCTTCACTCTAACTTGTAAGTATATTTTCAAAATCTAAATTTAAATACTAATCAGTTTAAAAAAATAGCTTTCCATTCAAAATATCTAATAAGTATATAAAGCTACAAGAGATTCTAAGGAAAATTATGACTGTCAACATATACCTGCCCTTGTAATCCACTTCTTGTTGTAGTAAAGTTAACCTCAGTAACTATGGAAGCTGCGTCTGGTGGAATAAAGGGATTCGGGTTTCTTGTTGACAGAAAGAGGCGGAACTCTTCATTGTAGTCAATAATTTTGTCACCTATTTGTACCACATAACGTGGTCCTATTTAAAAAAAAAAACACAATTAGTTGGCTTGAATCTTTTATATTTTGCGATGTGATAGTTTAACACATCATTTTCAAGTACTTATATAAATATAGGCTTTTCCATAGAGTCCAAAGACAGCAAAAGTTAGGCTACCCAAGACAGGATTAGCCAGAATGCTCTATTAATCAGCACTTATACAAGCAAGCATAAATAATATTCACTAAGACAATCCAGGGATACTGAAGCATCAAAGGGATATCTACTCATATACAGTATGGTTTTAATGTTTACAAGTTTTTCTGAAATGGTTGATTATAAACAAATAGAAAGCCTCAATTATATATAATTCTCTATTTCTAAATTCATCAGTTAAGAAGTATTTATTCTTCTAGTACTTAAGATGTAATACTTGAAGAGACAATGATGGTAAAAAACCCAGGAATATCAATATATAAGTAATTGCAAAATATCCATTATCAACAAAATGAAAAAGTAACCTACAAACTGGGAAAAAGTATCTGCAAACTATATATCACATAAGGGGTTAATATCCAAAATTTATAAAGAACTCGTACAACTCAATACCAGAAAAACAAATAACCTGATTAAAAAATGGGTAAAG